AGCTCCTTAGCCCGGGCACTGCCCGCACCACGCGACAGCAGTCTCTAGAAAACTGCACGCCCTCATGGCACTGCCGGGAACACGGTGAGTGGACAGACACGGCCCGGCCCTCCCGGCGCTTCCCCATCCCTGTCTCGTCCCTCTGCCTGAGCGCGTCCCCCAGCCCGGCCAAGCAGCCTGGCATCAGAGTAAACAGACAAGGAGCCAAGGACTGAATGCAGGTGATGTGCGTTTTCAGTCACGGGTCACCTGGCCTCCCCGTGGCGTGTGGGAGCAGTGAGCGACAGTGGGAAGTCGTGGACGGTGTGGGGTCCCGGGGCCAGTGGGACCTGGGAGGGACCTGCAGCCATGCTCTCCACCGGGCCCCGGGGAGCAGCGCGCCCAGGAGGCGGCGTGTGGGCTCATCTGGAAAGGCTGCCGCAGCCCCAGTGGCTCCAGCAGCCACACGCACACCTTCAGAGCCACCTCCAGAGCCACCTCCGAGGACCTCCGTGTTCAAGCAAGCGCACCAGGACTGACGTCCACCTCAGTGGGCTAGTCGGGCCATCTTGGGACATGACCACTGCCATCCCAAACAGAGCCAAGGCTCCACGTGCCCCGCCAGCACCTGCGCAGTCCCACGGGGCCACCCCCAAACCTGGCGTTCCCTCGGGCACCAACTCCTACTGCAACGATAGGGACCAGAGAGAAGACAATCCTCTCACAGGTATGACCGCCTTCTGCGGCAGAGGCGGAAGTGCCACCGTCAAGCTACCCCTTCAAGCCCCGAACGTCCGTGTGTCTGAAAGGGGCCGCACACTTCCGCTGGTTGCATTTCAGTAGAAATTTTCTTTTCTTACCCAAAGTCTAAATTTATAGAATTTCAGACACTCTTCGGGACAAAAATACCAGCCCCTTGAAATGGGCGTCCAAAGATGACGGGAAGGAATAGAGGCAACTTGGTGCGTTTCTTAAACCCTGACGTGATAATTCTGAGTTCCAGCCTGTGACAAACAGTGGGGACGCGGAGACGACGAAACCAGGCCACAGAAAGGAAAGGGCTCCTGGGCGGGTGGCCGTGTCAACCTTCGCAAGCACGAGACTTACGTTTTTGGTTCCTGTCCCTCGAGTAGATCCGCGACACTGTCCCCTGGGAGGCAGAGCACGCGGTGAGCGTGTTCCTGCGCTCGGACAGCAGGCTGCAGTCACTGCAGGTGTAGCCGTTGCTCCTGGCCGCGTCCGCCGCCACGTCGCCATTTCCCTGAGTGACAGCCTTACTTCCACCTGCAGTTTTCGGAAAGCAGACAGAGCAGGTGTATCGCAATCCGCAGGTTCCTAACCAAAACTTCTCTCTCGAAAAGCACGGGGAAGATAAAGCGCTAAAGTAATTACCTTTCACATCTCCGTCATCGTCAAGACCTAAAACACACACACACGTTTTTGCTGTTGAACTCAAGTTACCAAAACACAAAAAACCCATACAAAAAAAGTAAAGGTTACAATGGTTAATAAATCAGCATTATGGCACTGGTCAAGATTTATTTCCTAAAATGCCTAAAATTAATAGACATTTCCCCAGATACATGCAAACGTTACCCTGACGTAAGGTGGAAGGCCTCTCTAAGGAAACCGCGTGCGCGGAGAACATGGGCACAACAGCTGGTCCTGAAGGGCAGGCGGGACAGACAGCAGCAGCCCACACCTCGGGCACGGCGTCACGCGCACACGCGCTGCACGCCCTTCCCGGAGCCAACGCCAATCCCAGTGCCCCCAAAACGAGATGTGGGACTTCAGGGACAAATCTGGGTCTTCCAGGCTCCTAGAGGCAGCCGGCCGCACACCGAGCGGGCACAGGCAGCACTGTGTCCCCCTCAGAGTGGCTCCCCTGCAGGACTGGGACCCATGACTGCTGCCCTCAGTCGGGCAGCTCGCGAGCCCCAGTTCCCCCCGGCACCTTGTCTGCGCTGAGCGCTTTCCAATGACTGCGAACTACTGTGCCTGCCCTGCCGCTTACAGCGGTCTGCAACTTAAAATCACACAGGGGACTGTCACAGAGACTTTGCTTAAACAGCCCACGAACTCAGTCATTTAGAACAACAGTTACCAGCTGACTGCCCGGCGGCTTCATCTTCCACTTCACAGTGAACGATGATTCATCGGCACAGCCACTCGGGGTGACCGCTGGAAGCCGCTTCCTGCGTTTCCCACAGGTGGGTCTAGAGGGGAGCTGCGACCTTACTGGGCCCCTCCCACCCAGGAAGGGACAACCTGGCTTGACTCCCTCCTTCCAGAGCATCCTGAGGAACAAGCAAGCTGCAGAGGGCTCACCCCAGAAGTGGTCCACTCTGGTCTGCTCGCGGATCAGGGACGCATCTAGCACGGGAGGCCGCAGACCAGCGGCACCTTGCAGGCCAGCCGCGACCTTTCCGGACGTGTGGTTCACGCTCCAGGCCAGCTTCCCTGCGCCTCTGCGCTGCTTTGCTGCTCTGAAAAGGAAGGAACGAGGGAGAAGTTTACAGACTTTTTCTAGTAAATACAAATGACAACATTTTACCAAGACAAAATCTTTAAGAATAAACACTGTTTTTAAGGTAACATTTTCTTATGTCTTTTCTGCTATAATGAAACACCTATTAAGCTAAAAAAAAAAAAAAAAAAAACGCATTAAGCTAGGGTCCAAGGATTCCTTCTAAGTTGTATAAACAAAATAGTTTTCAGATTATTTTTGGCCCTATGACCCAAAAGTAGCTAAAACTTAAAATAACAAGTATAAAAATGTCCGAAAAAAAGATTTATTTTATATTTATTTTAAGATTTTTATTTTAATTTATAAATCTAATCTCTCTCCTTTTTATAACAAGTGCACAAGCGTGCACACCCACACTACTTCTCAGTCACTAGCAAAGATGGAGCTACAATAAGCACAGCAAGAAAAGGCCGTAATCACAACTAACTTCTGCATTCATATGGACCACAGGTGATACACGATAAAGGCCTTGCAAACAAGCGCCTTACAAATGGTCCGGATCGTTAGGTGGTAGGGACAGACGGCAGACAGAAGGCCCTCCTGCTTCGAGGGGACCAGTCGTGGGTGAAAGGCAGGCAGCAGTAAGCGTGCCATGTTACGACATCGCCTGGGGACAGAAACCAGCCGTCAAGCAGCCAGGCTATGCGCACGCCGTGCCACACACAGGAACCAATGGGCATTTTCAGCTGCACCTTCGTGAACCACCGCCCTGCCATCTCTCAGGTGGAGGCCTGGGAGCCTCATTCTCAGGTGAGCTCCGAGGCGACCGGGACACAGCATGCGTGTGGTGCACGTGGCCACCGGACAGGAGCGTGCGGCGGGAGCACGCCAGCCCGCTCGCGAAACAAGAGCGCCGTGCAGGTCGGAGCGTCCTCGCTCTGACGTGGTGACCCAAGGCAGAGACGTCGCTTCGTTCTTCACCTCTGACGGCACAGAGCTCTTGGGTACAGAGTGACTTCGGATATCCGAGGACACAACAATCATGAGTACAGGTGAACACGTAAGCCTCGCCTGTGTGTCTGCTGGCCCACGCAGACTTCAACAGACTTCAGGTGTTGACACTGCGGAGGCCGTCTGCAGTGAGCCCTCCCCCTAAATGACATCTGGTGGCACGGCCAGGGTTCGGCTCAGCTACGAAGGTGGACCGTGAGTGCTGGCGCTGACGGGGTCATGCCCACGTCCCCTCCAGGCCCACGTTCCAGAACCCTTCAGTCCTGTTGGCAGCATGGCTGCGGCCCCACGCGGGGACGTGTGCACACATACACGTCTCGAGAGTCAGGACCGTGCTCCCATAGGCCGCGCGCTCACACACTGGTTCTAACAGGTGCTCACCTGGCCGCTCTGTCCTTCAGGGAGGCCATGCTGCTGTCGCAGGAGTGAATGTCCCCAGCCTGGCCACCATCGGTGGTGTACGCTGTGGTGACCAGGCGCAAACTACGGCGGGACATTCTTGGAGAATCAAACACGGGATCCAACTTGTGCTCAGTCTCGAAGTCCAGAGCATCGGAAGAATAGCTTGAACTAGAAAGAAAAAAGCTTGTCAGACGTAAACAATGCTCAGAGCACCACTTCTGAAACAAAATGAACAGATAGTGGATGGAATGTGTAACCTATTGTGAACTTTAAAAAACAGACGTGACTGTGTGACGACTTTTCCACAAAACCAAACGAGCAGTCACGCAGGCCAGTCGGCAGCGGGTGCTGCCCGCACGTGCTCTGGCCACGTCCACCCCGTGCCTGGTACCAGGTCTGAAGCCGACCCCGGGAACTGCCTCACGACGGGCCCCCCACCTCCAGGCAATTCTGCGAGCACCGCGAAAAACCAGAGCATGTTCACAGTGGACATTGTGCCCAGGGAACAGTTAACGCGACAGTGACCACCGCTCAACAGCTAGTCTGACACACCAGGAAGTCACTGAGTAAATCGATGTACAGGAACAGGAAAGAGCAAGTGACTGCGCCATCACTGCCACCTGCATCTAACTCCACAGAGCTAGACCCATTTGTGACAAATCACTCCAGTACCTTTCCATATAATTATCTGAAACTGTGTCAGTAGCAAGTTTTTCCAAATCAAGAACTGCTCATGAAGCACCTACTGTGTGCCTCCGCGGGGGTGGGGATCACACCGACAGCCCTGCCAGTGCAGGTAGCCTGAGCACACCTGACAGCCCCCTTCATCAGGACACACATGACAAGCACCCTCCAGTGAGGGGCCCACATCTGCAGAGGAGATGCCCTCACAAGCCAGCAGGGCGGAGGGAGGTGAGCACAGGGCCGCCGGAAAGGAGGGAGAGGACACGGCGGAGGGCTTCCTGAGACAGTGGAGGAAACAGAGCAGGCGACGAGACAGGCCCACGGCACCCCCGACGCTGAGGGTGGGGTGCGCTGAGGGTGGGGCGCGCAGAGGCTGGGCAGGGGCTCCAGATGAACAATGGGCCAGCTCCAAAGGGCCTGTGAGCCCTGGAGCTGGTGAGATGGGATTGTCACCACTGCACACGCTGACCCACAGTGAGGCGGGACGCTGGGGGACACCCTGGGAGGCACAGCCATGGGGGACAGTCTTGCTCGGGAGAGCAGGCTTGGTGAAGGATCTGGATTTGAGCGAAGTAAACGGGCTGGGGAACATTTCTGCATTGTGTATCATGTTATAAAAACGTTCTCAGCCCCAAATTCATCATAAACTTACTGGATCTGACACTAAAACACGTTCAGTCAAACCAACGTAAGGTGATACGAGTGGCTTCAGGTCGTCACATGTGTGTGATGTGTCACGTGCACCTTCCCTTAGAGGCTGGCGGGGGTGGAGACTGCACTAACGCACAGTGAGTACGTGGTAAGGACGCCAAGCATGCAGTTTTAATATAATCCGAAATACGGTTCATTTCCTTCCAAAAACGTGTTATACAATTTCCATTGTAATTTTAGAAAAGTATGTTATTTCAAATCAGAATCCGTCTCGCGGGTGTGGCCCGATGCCCTTTCGGCCACCGCGCCCCTCTGCTTATCTGGGTCCTGGGCTTAAAGGACAGACGTTTGGGGAACCTGGACTTCGAGAGAGACTGACACCGGAGCCACCCGGCTCCGGTGTCCAAGCCCCCAACCAGGCGTGGCGGGTGGAGCGGTCAATCTGGACAGACACGCACGGACGCGCACACACGCACACGCACACACAGAAAGCCGGTGGTGCACGCAACTCTATCCCCATGCGCCCCGGAGATGATGACCTGGGGACACTATGACACTGCTCCAGCCTGACGGGGTCCTGCTCTCTAACACAGAGCCTGAAACGCCCCTGCCACCACCAGAGGGTGTGCCGACACACCTACACGCCAGGCGGGCGGGGTGAGGCGGGGCGGCCTTCTACAGAATGTCAGGGCAGCAGGCGGCTAGGGACTGCCGACCGGCCGCGAGCCAGACCGGGACCCGTCCACACTGTGTGATGCCGTGAGGCTGTTAGAGGCACAAACGACCTGTACCCACTTTTGCAGAAAGACCTCCAAGATATGCTGTTAAGTGGAAAAATACCCTAGTATCACCCTATTTATGTTAAACTACGCAACAGAGCCGCAAATCTCATAGATGCGGAGAAAAGCGAAAGCACAGGAAAGACCTGGAAAGTTCCCTTCAAACTAGTGACAGTGTTATCTCTGGAGCTTTCACTCTGAGCGGCACCTGCTGAGCTCCAAACCGGGGCCACGGTGCTCACAGCGGGGTGCAGGGGGACCAGCGACTCCGGGCTCTGAGCTCAGTCCTGCTTCTCTCGGGGCGGAGCGCATCTCAGCTGCTTCTCTGACGTGTTAGGTGACCCCGAAGGTCTCCCATGGGCGCTGCAGTCCAGGCGCATCACCAGCTGCCCCCCTGTGCCCTGGGCCGGGTCCCGACCACCGTGCATAATGGGTTCCTATGGACGGTGCACCCCAGTGTCTGCAGGAGACATGGGCACAGGCACCCGCCCAGGAGCACGAGCGCGTCAAGTGCGGTGTTCAAGTACTTTATTAATTTCCTGCGAAGCTCGGGGGAGGCGGCACAAAACTGTCAACTGAGGTGTCCAATCTAGACTTAGAATTAAGTGACATAACTAGGATATAAAGAAACATACAGACAGAGATCCCAGGACACGGTCCACTTAATCCTCGAGACTAGGATTGTAGTTTTGTTCTCTCGTGTTACGCATTGTTACTGTCATGCATCGTTCTTTTTAAGATGTTATTTAGATGCACTTTTACTGAAAAATTGGAAAAAATCGACCACAGCTGAAAGCTGGGAACGAACACAGACACGAGGCGGCGACAAGCTGGGGCAGTGTGCCAGCCAGGAGTGCAGTCGAGACCGACCCCCGCCGACACCACGCCTCGTACACGAGCAGCTCGGTTACTGCGCAGGGGTATGTGGATAGAGCAAGTCACACACAGTGACAATGCAGATCCGACCACGGTCCGATGTCCAGGTGTCGCTGACCTGAACACCGACCCCAACAGCTGCTCTGACATCCTAAACACAAAACTCACACTCTGATGCCTCGCCACCCATCACTTCAGACCGGTCACACAATGTCAATCCCGGTGAGCGTCACAGCCTCCCCCGGCTGCCATTCCACTGCTCCATGACTTCTGTCCCAGTGGCCTGGCATCATCTCACCCGGATGACCCCAAGGGGTTTGTGTGTGCAGGTCCAGACTGCTGCAAGGCCCGGAGAACCACACCAGGTCGATGCACCCCCGTCCCCCCCCACAACCGGTCGCCCCTGCCTGGCAATGTGTGGTGGTCACCTGTCCCCGGCTCCCGGCCATCGCTCCCTCTTCTCCTCACTTCCAACTTCCCCTCTCGCTCCCTGCCTCGGCTCCCTGGTCTAGAAGGCCTTGCTTCCTGCTCCCTAGACACCTGCCATTGGTGAAATGGGGTAGGCCCTAAGGGGCTCTGGGGAAGGACCTACCATCTGCTGCCATACTGCCGTGGGCAGGGGTCCCGAAGCCCATCCCGGGGGGCACATCAACCCTCCCGCTCTCTAGTGTTACCACCGGGTACCGCCTCTGACTCATCTTCACCTTCTCCCCACTGGCACCTGCCATCAGCACCTAGTCACACCCTCCCCACGGTAAAGCAAACCACAAGCACAGCCACGTCCCTCCTCAAGCCCGCATCAGCCACACTTGTTGAAAAAGGTGTCTACACTCCCTCCTCGACCCACTTCACTCTGAGTGCTGCCCGGGAGTCGCTGCACTCGGCCCGCTTCTGCCCAGCGACCCCGTGGGGCTGAGCTCACTGGCCGCGAGGGCCTGACCCTGCGTGGCCTTCCAGCAGCTGCAGTTGGCTGATCGCTCCCTCCTCCAAACGCTCTCTTCTCGCTCACTTTCTTCCAGGCTGAAGACCGACTTCCCACGGGAGGCTGGG